AATGTTGTTCCCTCTTCGTTATGAAGTAAAAGAAGACATCATGTTAGCCACCCACCCCAACCCTTGATCCAAATGAATGTTAAGGAAGATAAATTTGAAATAAAAAAAAGAATTAGGCATTTGAATTATTGAGCTTTTTTTTTTTTTTTTTTTTTTTACCTTTACCATGTTAATAAGAGACAGGGTAGAAATATTGCCTAATGATGAATAGTCATCATGATTCACTGGCAGTATTTCATAGTGCACTTTCTAACCTTCTACAGCCAATGAGGATGTATAGGGTGAAGTTATAAAAAAACAAAAACAAAAACAAAAAAACTTTTGTTGTTTGGATAGCCATCGTCATAATTAGTCATAATAAAATTCTATGGAAGTAGAACTAAATCAATCTCAAACCAATAAATTGAACATTAAAAAAAGAGGTGTGCTTGACCGTACCTGCAGCTGATTACTGAGTAAACCATTCCGTTTGCTCTGCATGTAAGCATTTGCGCTTCCACTTTTGGCTGCCCGGATCCTGGCCAGTCTAGCTTTCTATAGGAGAAGAGCAATAAATATGCCGTTAACATTTACGAACTGTTTCCTTAAAACAGTGAATGAACTTTTGTATAATCCTATTGTCAGTCTACATATTATTAAAAGTAAGCCAGCTTTTCAAATGCAACTATTGAAAATTACCTCTCTACCTTTTTAAGTGCTTTATTTCAGTTAATATTTATCAGTAAAATCAATGAACTACCTTGGAGCTGGCTTATGCCTTTGAAAATTATAATTAAGTCTTTACAGTAAGATCAAGTTATTTCATTATTGTTTCTTTCAATTGTGTCAAAAGAAAAATAGCAGTATTACCTTATGTATATTTTCATGTATCCCTCTCTGAGTAACTTAATGAAATGAAGACCGGTAGCTCAGGAAACCAGCTGCCAACTCCTTTTTGTTTAAACTAATGTCCTTAAAAATTAGTAATTAAATACCAAGAATTGATTGCCTTCCTTCCTTCCTTTCTTTCTTTTTTTTTTTTATAAGAACCACTGTTCATCTATATCTGCATCCTCCAATATAAAATTATATTTTTGCAATTACCCTTTAAGTTAGCCAAGGTAGATCCATGTCAAACAACATGGACTGTCTCTCTAAACCAACCAACCAACCAACCAACCAACAAACAAACAAAACCAACTCTGAATTTATCTACTTTGTCTACCAGCACGGGTCCACACAACTGTATGCGCATCTGATTTGTGTTTCACTCTTGGATTGGCTGAAATGAAGAACATAGTGAGCCTATCCAGAGAGATTTAAACATTGTTTTTCATTTTTAAAGCATTTTTGTGTGTGTGTCTGTTGATAACATCCTTCAATGTAGAGGGTTTAGGTGACCAGTCCAATTGTTCCTCTAAGTTACAGTGAGATCCCTGAAGTGAAAGTACTAGGCATCTGGCTGTGTAGCCAGATTTCTGATATTCCATTCTACTTTCCAACTGCTGTTATTGATGCGCATTTAGACTGTCATGGAAAGAGTCCTGTTTTCCCTTCCTGGCGAGCACTATTTTGGTGATCATTCTATTTGTATTACATGTAGCTAGCAAGTGTATGTGAAACAGAGACTGGGATGGCTTAGATAAGTTTCCTGTAAGCTTACCTCACAAAATTTCTTCTTTTTCCCTTCTAAACAATCCAGAAAAATAGTATCTTTAGTCTCAAGTCCTGGAATGCTCTTTTTAATAAAAATTTTAAAATTATCTAGATTTTTAAATGAAAAATATATACATATGAAAAAATTTTTAATACTACAGAAGTGCCTGCAAACAATTGTCTGTGACCCTGGAGCCATCCCACTACGAGGCTTCAGAATCAATCATTGGTAATATTTCTAGAAAATCCTGTGAGAAATTTTCTAAGCCTAAAAGAGCAAGTATATATATTCACATGTATATACACATACATTTTTACTCCAGAGAATACTCCTCACACTCTTCTGCATTTAGTTGTGTTTTTTAATTACATCTTGGAACTCCTTCCATATATACATGTAAAGATCCGCCTCATTTTCTATGAATGTATAATATACTACGGTATAAACAAAGAAGTATTTATTTACCAGGCCAACTACCAATTAATTTTTAAAGCATCTTTGGCAACTATAAGCAATGCTGCCTGCATTGAATATGATGATGAGCTTATCTACAAGACATATTTCTGAAAGCAAAATTATTCCTGGACCAAAGAGAGTGCGTGTGTGTGTGTGTGTGTGTGTGTGTGTGTTTCTTTTGTAAAGTCTTACCAAATTTCCCTCCAAAGTTATTGTACCAAGATGCCTTTCACACGTATCATTTGAGAGTAGCACTGAGATGTTTGAAGTTCTCAAAATCGCATTAAGATATCATCTGTCTTTAACACCACCCTTCCTCCCTTCCTTCCTAAATTTATTCTTCCTGTGTGCTGACTCCAGGTTAAAATAATATACTTTGTACAAAGATCATGCTTATAAATGATGAGAAAATTAGACAAATTTCACTCTTTGTTGGAAACATAATGTTTAGATCACTCAAAATACTAACACAATAGTAGAGAATGAAGTTGGAAGGTAGAAAATTTTTAACTTCAAAAGTTGGGCAGCAATTTCAGGATTTCAGACCAGACGCAGTAAAACAATAGCAAGTGACAAGGACACTTGGAAATGACTCAGAATTAGCCTAATAATTCAGAAATAAGCAATTCATATATTTGTTTCCAAAAAGGGATTATTGTTGAAATTTCAGTCTTAAAGTCTTTTTAGTCTCCTGGAACATTCATTGCCTTTCTACTCCAGACTCCCGACTCCTTCCTTCCTCCCTCCCTTCATTCTCTAAGCATTCAGCAGCAGCATTGGGTGATACTGTTTTCTTTTATTAAGGAAACATATACATTAACCAAAAATACTGTCCAGCAAAATAAAATGACATATATTTCTCATCATGTAATGGTAAGCCTACATATGGTGGAAAACACTACTGTAGAAGTAGTTCTGCGCTTAGGGACAAAAAAGAAGTTGCTTTAGAGACAGACTATCCATTTATGCTAAGTCATGCACTGTGTCAGAAAAATAACTTCCCATCTCAATTTCAATCATGGCTTTTCTTTGACCCGACTACAATTCCATAGGAGTTAATTGGTTTAATTGGTCTTGTGGAGCACCACAACAAATGCCTGTTGAATACTAGCCTTTATGACTTGTGATTATCTCTTTGGTTCCAGCCGGTAATTGAGGGAAATTATTTTACAAAGATATTTTAGAAAATCATTTTACTTCTGACCCTCTCAGTATGACAATCTTGGCAGCGCCGATTAAGTAATTGGGAGGTTAAAAGAAAGCCATCTGCTGGTAAAAACAAATGTATTCCTTTCAGTCTCTTACCCCTGACCCTTTTAGAACATACAACTTCTGGCACGGCAAAGTATCAGCAAATAATATGGAAGTTAGAGAAAAGTTTCAGTAAGTACTTTATCTCAGCTGTATGAAAAGTAGGAGACTTCTTAAATTTTAATTAAAGCAAGGTTTACATTTTCAGTATAAAAAAAGCATTATAGTTATTTTCAAATAATTTATTTGCCTTAAATGGTGATAGTGTTTGGAGAAAAGTTGTCTGTCTCATAAACATATTCTTCCTATGCATCCTGATTCTTCATAGCTGCAGTTTTTGTCTAATCATCTAATCTTAGCAGGATTTCTCAAAGTTGGTTCCAAGGAATTCATAAGTGTCAAAAGTAAAATCTAAATCAAACAGATGAAGCAAAGGACTGATTCTGTGGTCAAGAAAAGGCTGGGAAATGCTGAGGTGTTAAAAAGGTTTCTTTGCTCTTGGGTTCCTCACAACATATGACATTGTGGATGATTACTGTGAGGAGAACAGGGATACATAGTCTGCAAGTTTCCTCAAACTAATTTGACATAGAAATCTTGTATTGTGAAGTACAGGTTAGAATGCCGTGGAACACAATGGGTTTTATCAAGTATATTGTTTTTTAATTACACCAAGTGACATAAACTTTACAGTGTATGTGTGGAACAGATGGTGGAAGTCAATCTGAGAAGGATCTATAAGCCAAACACGGCCGAGACACTGATTTCCTTACATCGTCAGTCATTTCTAGATGAGGTATGAGGTAGATTAAAGGAAGTTATTGGGCCATCTTGTTACCAAATCACAAAATATTTTGAAAAATAAAGGTATCCTAGGCAGCCTTAAAAGTGAGGTAAAGAAGGTGTTTCTCTTTGGTAATTCCTTACTCCTCAAATGCTTGCCCCCACACTCTCTGTAACATGCATTCCGGAAATTTTGCTTACAGTTGTTTCTTTCATTTAAAGGTTAGTAAAATGCCTCAGGTGGAGGTAGCATATTAAACTTTATCATCTCTTAGAAGTTTAAGACATTTATTGGAATCTTTTTACTTGCTAAGAAAAAATAACTGTGCTAGAAATGAGACAAGTTAGCACCAAACAACAATAAAAAGAGAGGAAAGAAGTCAGTGGCAGACAGTGCAATATTCCTAGGTCCAGAACTTGGTTATTCCTGGAGATGGCAGGGCTAAGCAGAAAAAGGCTGGGATTTGGGTCAGTGGAAGAGGCTAAGCAAAGAGAGGTCTGCAAGAGGATTCCATGTTGGAAGGGGTGAGAACTGAAAGAGAATATAGGAGGGCATCCGTGACCAAATTCTTGGGTGGAATTAGGAGCTGCGTAATTTTTGTTTTTAATAGTAGATAGCCTAAGAGATTACTCTCAGGTTCTAGCAAGTAGTTATTTCTTGCTTTTTCATTATTCTACTTAAAAAAAAATCTTTCATTTGGACATTGCTGAATGTACTAGGCAGTGGTTCTCAAAATGTGGTCTCCCAAATGGCAATATCAGCATCACCTGGGAATTTATTAGCAAATGTTCAGGTTCTAACCCAAAACTACAGAGTCTGATGTTTTGGGAGTAGGGCTCAACAATCTTTTTTTTTTTTTTTTTTCTTTTTCAGATGATTCTAAACTTTGAAAACCACCCTAGCAGGGTATGATAAATGGCAGATTACATATGGTTAGTACCTTTCTAAGTCAATGTGAGAATTTTAATGTGAAAATTAAAAATATTACACCATACATTGGCTCATTGATTCTAAACTTCTCACTGCATTTAGAATTATCTATAGGAATATCCTAAAACATTAATAGTTCAAATAATACTAGACTTTTTTTGCCTTGGACTTTAATCACTAGGTTTGTGAGCATGAGAAAGTTATCTGTAAAATGGAAATAGTATACTTCCTTTGCAAGTTGATTGTGAATGTTACAAAAAACAGATATAAAACACCTGGGACATTCTAGAAACTAGTGAGGGGTTTTGTTGTTGCAATTTGTATTATTAAATTATAACTATAATTACTACTATGATTATTATGTGATAATTACTCACAGGTTAGCCTGTGAGTATGCAGATGATTAGGTGATGTGATCCATATTTTAAATGAGCTGCTTCAAAATATCAACCTTCCCCTTGTCATTGCATTAATCTAGCTTTATTTTGGCTAATACATTCTACTCAGTAAATATTTATAGACTAACTAAGAGAATCAATAAATCTATTAAAATACAATTACCAAGGGTGGGAGTGGAGGAGAGGTGTCACAGTTTAGGCCTATATCCACCAGCATGTCAGTATGTGCTAGAAATGAGACAAGTTAGTACCAAACAACAATAAAAAGAGAGGAAAGAAGTCAGTAGCAGACAGTGCAATATTCCTAGGTCCAGAACTTGGTTAATCCTGGAGATGGCAAGGCTAAGCAGAAAAAGGGCTGGGATTTAGTTAAGACTTTATCAATGATTGATAGAAATGGGGTAAACGATGTATTCCCTGTAAACAGCAGGAGCGGGTAGCAAAAGCAGGAAGAGTATTGCAAATGGAAGAACCTAGAAGAAGGAAAGTATTTCTGATGGTGATGATGGGAGTGTTCTCAAATTAATACTGTGTCTATTTCGTGCTTTTGCTTGGTCTTGACGTGGCAATTGAATTAAACAACAAAAATATGGTCTAAAAAAACCATTTTGTAACATTACTTTTATTTGTTGGACTGATATTTTTACTGAATTGAATGTTTACTTGACTGAATTAGTTGGTTATTTTTGCATAACTTTAATATTTGGCACATAGCCCAGTCCCAGATAAATTTAAACTGTCTTAGCCTAATGGGCATTTGTTCTGTTTTTTTTTTTCCCCCCTAATCTCTTGGGAAGGAAAATAGGAAACATCCTTTGGTAACTTATTTAGTTCATATCCAAACTGTTCTTTCTTAGAAGATTATGTTCAGTTTATTGGTCACAGTCTACATACTGGACATATTATACTTGGTTATTATATTTGACTTTATTAATCTAATTTTTCTAATAGTAAAACTTTGTAAAATTCATTGCATTATGGCAGAAACTAAAAATATAGCAAATATTTTAAAGATTCCTAAAAGCATTCACAAAATATACTTTTCAATTAGTGTACTTTTAGAATGTCACATTACTTACTTTTGATTTCTAAAGGTATTTTAGTATTTAATATTTAGTAGACCAAAAGGCTTCTAAAATACTCTAAGGTTTTCTTTATTGATTTTTTTGTTGCAGATGACAAACTCTGAAGAAATACAGGTATTTGGGAAATTGGTTTATCAGAAATTTAGATTTGTGCTTCCTATAGTTTTCATATAGTTGGCTCTTATACCAAAGGAGAAATGTCTAGAATGGAGATTGATGGGTGGTTGAAAGTTAAACTTTTGGTAGGATCCTGTTTCTTTAGACAATGAGCAATTGTACCCAGTGGAGGGACTGGACTGTATGGGCAGTGTCACGACTGTGGTGCTTGAAGGTCCTTGGTGGTGGGGTCAGTTGTGGCTGAAACCCCTTTACCTCTGCTTGCCAAGGGTATGTATTCCCTACATAAGACTACAACTGTCCAGAGGGTGCCTTTTTCTACTCCTCCCTATTCATTAGATGATCAGTTCTCTATATCCATGTTGACTGGACTATTTCTAACTCTTCTCTGTAATAATTAAAGACTAGGCATTCGTCCAAAAATGAAGAGTTCCATAAAGCAAGTAACTACAGGACTTGGAAAAGTGATTCTTTGCTAAAGGAAGATCTTTGACAAAGGGCATAAATTAGTTCTCTGGACAAATATGCTGTGTGGCCACACTGATTAACTAGAACTTTCCAAAGACTTACTTCATGAGATTGTATACTTTACTTAAGAGGCTGACATTGTTCATATGTGTGTTTAAGATCCTGTTCTGGAATTACCTACAAAGCCAGTGAATAACTACACCAAAGCCTCTCATGGTATTTTGTAGTTATGACACATCACCCAGGTTGTGCATCCACTTTAGTCGCGATTATGAATGGTTTTGGATGTTTTTTAAAAAATGAATCTATCCTTAAAGGACAAAGATATAATGACCATGAAGAATACTGGAAATACAGTGCCATAAGCCCAAAGGAAACTACAGAAGAGATTTCCAAGATTGTTTCTAAGCAACAAGGGCCCTGCCTCTCAAGGTGACTATTTTGACAAGGATTGGGGAAGGGAAGTATGATAACATTTACATAGCTTTTCTGAGAGGCACCTTATCATAGTGTTTGTGTGTATGAGCCTGGGAGCCAGACTAGCTTGGATGGAGTGGTGGATCTCCAACTGAACAGGTATGTGACCTTACAATTGCTTAATTTGGGAATACTGGAGAATTCCCATCTATAAAATGAGGATAATAATGGTAACTAACTGCTAGAGTTTTCGTGAAGGTTGTATGTGTTGACTCAAGTTTAGCCTAAAGTTGCCTCCTTACATATTTTAAATTTAGCCTAAAGGTTTCTCTATGCATAGTGAACTGTACCTTAAATGGAGGAGTAAACAGACTGTAACCCACTCTGTGCCAACCACTGAGTTTTGGCCAATCAAAGGGGGCCAACTGCTCCAATGGTGTTCAAATAAGGCAAACGCTGAGCTATAATCATTACAACTGTTTCTGTACCTCACTTTTGTTTTCTGATTGTCACTTTCCTTTTACTGCCTGTAAATCTTTTTCTATCATGTGGCTGTGCTGGAATTTCTGTGCTTACTCTGGCTTGAAAGGCTGCCCAATTCATGAATTGTTCTTTGCTCAATTAAAGTTTTCAATTTAATTTGGCTAAGGTTTGTCTTTTAACATATGAATTCTTTTGTGAAAAACGTTAGGCTAATGTCTGGCACATATAAACCACAAGTAAACATTAAATATTTATAATATGATGTGGTTATATAAATTTACATATACTTGTATATAATCTTAATCTTACTGTTTATTATTTTCTCCATTTTATAGTTGAGTGTACACTATGCTTATTCTTGAGGGATTAATTACCTGGCATGAAGTTCAAACAAACGGTAAGCTGCTAGGACGAGAATAAAACTCAGCTACAGATGATCAGATTACTTCCTGTGTCAACTATGTAAAATATCTGAGACACATTTTGGTGACCTTTAATAACCCTCATCTACTAGAACCAGCTTGACCCTTAATAGATACAGACTCAGTGAATCAGACCTAGAAATCTGATTTTAATAAAATTTGCCAAGAATCTGTTTCTGATTTTGCTACTGTCATTAGTGCTGCTCATCAAATATTTCTTATTTTCTGCTTCTGGCCCCATAGTAGAATTGTATTTTCCTGCCCACTTCGAAATTAGACACTGCTGTGTGATTTGCTTTAGTTAATGCAATAGACGAGAAAGTGACTCAAACCACTTCCAGGAGGGGCATTAGGAAGCAGTGTGTGATTCATCGTGCCCTTTACTCCTCCTGGAGACTGCAGAAGCACACTGTCAAGATGGACTCTCTATTCTCTGGACAAGTAATGGACTTGTAGCATGATTCAGAAATATTGCTTATTGTTTTAAGCCCCTGAGATGTTAGGCTTCTTTTTAGTGTAGAATAACCTACTCGGTCCTGATTGATGCACATACTGACCAATCCAGAGCACTGAATAACCGTTAAGAAATACTAAAGCTCATTATAAAAAGTGGGAAGTGCTAAACTATGGTTGCATAGAGCTGAATACGCACCTTCTGTGCCCTTCGTTTGTCTGCTCGTTGATTCTGGTGGTAGATACGACTGAAGTTCGATACAATCACCGGAACTGGTAGAGCAATGACCAAGACCCCACTCAGCGAACAGATAGAACCAAAAATCTTCCCTGCTATGGTTTTTGGCACCATGTCACCATACCTGAGTTAATGAAAAAAAAAATACATATATTGTTTTAAGTCACAGAAAGACATTTCTACCTGAAACTAATAATTTTTTGCTTTAAGTCAAATGATTTTTTAGACATGTCTATTTCTACTTTGTGACTACAATATACATGGCTTCAGATGTTAATGTCAGAAATTATAAATATCTGAATATAAAAATTACCTTTCAACCTTGTAGAAAATGATTCTAACATTAAGGAATCTTTTTGATTGGAAAATATGTTAAGTCAGATGATGTAATGATAGCTCTTCAATTTTTCCTTTATACGCCGTGACATAGTTCTTTACATTTATTTAATACTCAATAATTCTATGCTGAAATTTATAGTCTGGATAACACAATTTTCCACTTAGTTTTTTTTCAACATTTAGTTGGTTATGAAATTTAAGTAGAAAAAGTAGCACATCACATTCCTTTCACCAGATGTCATCATTTAAAAAATAAACTTTTCAAGGCCCCCATTAACCTTCACTTGTGAAATCTAATGGCCATTTCTCCATAAAAATCTAACTCAATCTCTCATTTGTAGCTTATTAGTTGACTATTCTCTCCTTGAAAGATTCCTTTTATTCTTGGCTTTAGTATTAGCAAATATTCTTATTCTCCCTTCTACCTCATTGGCTACCACTTCTCCATCTTTTTTTCTGCCTCCTTTCCCCTTATCTGATTTCTAAACCTTAGAGTACTTTAGGTCTCCATCTTCAGTCCTCTTATCTTCTCCATATAAACCCACTTCCTATGTGACTTTGTCCAATCTCATATCTTAAAACTAGCTCTACGCAGCTGACGCTCTGACTTATATTGACAGCCATGATGTCTCTCCTGAAAACCAGATTCACATCTCGAGTGTTCTGGTCTGATTGTTTCTACCCCTGGATGCCTAAGAATCCACTAAAATTTAAATCAGACAAAATGGAACTCTTATTTCCCTAGCTTCCTCTGCCTCTCTCAAATCTTTTCCTCCCACAAGTCTGCCACCTATAATTAAACAGAACCACCACCATGCAGTTGTTCATACCAAAACTGGAAGAGCCATCAACGTAATTGCCAGTATCAACATTTCATCTCTTAGCTGGTCTTGTTGTCTCTGGGCACACCAAATTGTATCCCATTCAAGCCTCTTTATGACAGTAAACCAAACCATGGTCATTTCTTGCCAGAGCCATAGATATAGCTTCTTACCTGACTCTCTTTTCTACATTTACCACTTTACAATTCATACCAACATAGCAGCCAGAATTTTGGTTTTAGAAATGGAGATTAGACAACTGCTATGTTGTTTAAACCCTGAAATGGACTTGAAACTGAAATAAATCCAAGCTCCTCAGTTTTGCCTCCAAGGGCCTACCTCATTTAGTTCCTGCCTATATTTTACACCACCTTTCACCAAGCTCACTGGCCTCTGGCCACACTGGCCATCTGGCCTTCTGTTTTGTGTGCAGCCCCCAGATGGTGATTATTCAGGGTGTCATTTAAATGTCTCCATCCAAGTGATTTTCTGGCCACCTAATTCACAGTAGTCTTACTGTCTTCCCTAATCATTCTCTATAACATTTCCTCATTTGATTATCTTCAGAGTACTTATTAACAAGTAACATTTTCTTATTTATTGATCTATTTTTTCACTCCTCATCCACCCTACTGACATTAGAATGTAAACCTGCTAAAGCAGGAGCTGTTCTACTTTGTGTTTTGTGAGCATAAGGCCAGCTCCTACTTGAATGAATACATTTTCTCTTCTTTACTGATGGAGACTGTCTAAGAGTGCACTCCTGGGGCAGGGGACAAGGAGGAGTTCTTTCCATCTTATTGTTGCAGAAGTTACCCAGCTGTGTCTGAGCTCCAACTATTCCACGCTCATTCTGGGGCTTTGGAGAGCTCAATGCTCAGAGAGTGTAATCCTGAGAGACAGGGCTCGAAGGAACTCACATACTAGAATCCATACTCAAGGGAGTTTAGGAGGACTTGGGGTTATATTGTATCTTGAGAGGTAGCCTAGGCAATAGTCACTTTAACATTGTTTTGTGGGAAAACATATGTGTGTCAATATGGAGATGGAGAGGAATCGGCTGAAGAAAAACTTGAGAGAGACAGAAGGTGATACTATCTAGTGCCACATTTAGTGACCCTATTCTGAGCTCTGGTCCTTTGCATTGAAGACTCAGATACTCATTCCTGTTGGTGTTTGTGGGTGATCAGCAGTTGAGCTAATTTAACATAGCTAAAGTTCCCACAAGGCTTTGGCACCAGAATGACAGTATTAATTTATAGTACAAAAATAATAACCTAAGAACCAGAATGCTGTGTTCATATAAAACATGATCTCCTTCTATCTGGGAAGCTAAATTATAATCTAAAGGTTATGTTAGTGAAGAAACAGTGAAAACTAAAGGAATTTAGAAGATGATTTTTAAAAGTCTTCTTACTATAGAGATATGTCAGTGGGACTGGAAGGTCAACTCCTTTTTATACAATGCTGTGTACATATGAGACAAATTATGTATCTGTCACAGTTCCCACTGAATGTCCAGCCATATTTGATACACAGTGTTTTTCCCCTTTGCATTGATTATGCAGTAGGCCCCAGAGAAGGCACACACACAGACACACACACACACGCATGTACACGCGCGCATACACACACACACACGGCTTTTAAAAAAGAGATTTGATGTTTAATAAAAACTTAATTATTTATTATGGCTAAAGAAGACAAGTACTGAGTCCATGTAATTGAAGTAAGCCTTTTAAAATATCAATATATAAAATAGCTAAGGGAATCCATCATATACTTTCTCCTGCCCTTGAAAGACTTTTAAAAGTCATTATTTATTATTTAATTTTTGTATTCTTGGTTCACTATGTCATAGGATAGGCAAGCTCAGAATAGTTGCAATTATTAGAGAAAATTACGAAAAGTAAGGAGATACACCAGTTTGTTGAAAGGCAGCAAATTCACAGTCTAGTAGGATCCATAAGGGAAAAGAGGTTTCAGATACATAAGAGAAGCTTCGTGTCATAAAGCTGTGGTAATCGACATAAAATAAAATACTTATTTTTTAGCTCTACCATCTTTGTTTTATAATCCAACATTCCTTCACAACTGAGAAAGCACAGGTGAGTATTTGCAAGGACTAAGCAGGACTGCAATGATTATGGTGAGAAGAGGAAGGGGGCACGAAGTGTTCATCAATGGGTACATCTTCTCTCACGTTTACACTCTTGGGTAGAGACACAGAGTTTCCTCACATTATAGCCAGTTAGGATGGTCTCCAAGGCTCTGCTGGTGTGAGTTAAAGCAGAGGAGATAGTAAGAGAGTACAAGGAAGTAGAACAGGCAGGGGTGCTAAGACAGTCCAGGCTGTCCTGCAAATTCTCATGTAAGGACAGCCTGAGCCCTTGGCTGGTTCCCATGGAACACCAGCTGCCTGCTTCCTCATACTCCTTGGTACAATTTACATTACTCCTTCTATCCTTCTCCCTGCTCCATTTTACCAGTTTAAAGTTGACTGCTGTTGATATTTGTAATATTTTAAGCGTATCTCACTATTTGAATATGTTGGAGAAGAGCAAAAAATATAGTATGATTCATGTCTGTTTTTACATTACTCATTTTGTCTCTCTTCTCATTTAGGAGTGACCTGGAGAAATGAAAATGGGTAATGTTTATCTGCAAACTTGTATTTGAGCATAGAATCTGCTAGGGATGGGATATATCTCATTGGCAAAACCAGCTGCTTTTCTTTGTTTAACAAAATATCTTCTAACTAGTATTCAAACTCATAGCAAGAAGCAAAAACGCATTATACACCTCAGGAATCACATCTCTCTGAAATTCTGTGGAGGAAAGGCTTAGAATAGAAAGCTTATATTGCAAAGTGACACTTACCGTGGTGAAATGCTCATTGAAAGCTTAAGTGTTTCTAAAATACTGCCACTTTTTAATGATTATTTATATCCTAGGCAACTTGGTTTCCTGTTGGTACTTTATTACTTACATTCAATATAAAAAAATACATCTCATTTTTCCTGACTCCTTATTTGTAAATTTATGCTAAGCCCAGTAGGATTATTTATTTCGTTCTTTCTGTTTTTCTTCAAAATTTTATATTATGTATTCAGTCTTTGAAAAATCATTTCCCAAAAAAAGTTACACCGAAACATGACATATATGTGGGGTTTATATTCATATATATATTTTTTCTGTATTTAATAAGATTGATTAAAAGACTATGAGGAGCCCCTAAAGTCTAATAAGATAAAGAATGAATTCACAGAAAAGTAAGAAGGAGGCCGGGTGCGATGGCTCACAGCTATAATTCCAGCACTTTGGGAGGCAGAGACTGGTGGATCATCTGAGGTCAGGAGTTCAAGACCAGCCTGACCAACATGGAGAACCCCCGTCTCTACTACAAATACAGAGTTAGCCAGGCGTGGTGGCACATGCCTGTAATCCTAGCTATTTGGGAGGTTGAGGCAGGAGAATTGCTTCAACCCAGGAGGCAGAGGTTGCAATGAGCCCAGATTGCACCATTGCACACCAGCCTGGGTAACAAGAGCGAGACTCCACCTCAAAATTAAAAAAAAAAAAAAAAAAGAGTTAGAAGGAAACAAGAGAATATGTCATGAGAGAATAACTATCAAATATTTTAGATAATACAGCAACTTGAACTTTGTTAATTGAAAGGAAACTTTTCTCCATACTACTCTTTCTTTTCTATTTTTTTTTTTGAGACGGAGTCTCACTCTGTTGCCACGCTGGAGTGCAGTGGTGCCATCTCGGCTCACTGCAACCTCTGCCTCCTGGGTTCAAGCAATTCTTGTGCCTCAGCCTCCCGAGTAGCTGGGATTATAGGCACATGCCACCACACCCAGCTAATTCTTGCATTTTTAGTAGAGACAGGGTTTCACCGTGTTGGTCAGGATGGTCTCGATCTCCTGACTTTGTGATCTGTGATCCAAAGATCAGCCTCCCAAAGTGCTGGGATTACAAGTGTGAGCCACCGTGCCTGGCCCCCCATACTCTTTCTACTCTCCCCCGCTTCTAAGTTTTCCTTCTTTCTCCTATATTTACTATGTCAGTAGAGCCACCAGTTTCCTTCTGCTCT